GCCATACAATTATGAACGGACTATGAATACGAACCAATCCTGAAAACGTTGTACGACCGTTTAATTGCCTTTCTTCTTTTAAATCCTCGTCACCAGACTGTACTTCAATTAATATTATCAGCTCCAATTATCAAAGTAAATTATGAAACTGTGAGATTGATACATTCATCAATTTGGTTTATCGTTGTGTAATGAAATAAAGATAGCAAAGCGTGAGTTATGTACAACTGTTTACCAGAATGTTAACACACGAATCTCTTTCTATTCATTATGTATAAATATAATTGAAATATAGTTTAGCGAACATATTTTTTTTAATTATCCGACATTTTTTACTAGTTGCTAAGAGCAATTTGTTGTTCGCACGGTGTTTTGCAAGAAAAAAGAAACACTAGCTGATACTAGCAGCTTGTAAAGTTAAAATATTTTAACTCGACTAGCTTAGGTGACAGAGACGACAAGTTGGTTTATTAAATATTTAAAAAATATTTTACACGATGCTCTCTTTCACGAGCTGTTGGTGAAAAGCGTTACGTAAACTCGAGCTTCATCTACTGTACAATTTCTTTTCTTACCGTTTATATTTTTTATTTAGTTTATCGAGCAATAAGCATTTGAAAAATTTGGTAGAATAAAAGCCAAGAGCGGAGGCGGATACCAATCGATATTAGCTCTGCAAATAATTTTGGTGTAAATTGAAATAGGATTGGGTTCGTAATGGCTGTCAGGAGAAGCGCGTCGACTGCAAACGACGCGATGGCATCCTTATTATATTCGACGTACGTGCGCCGGCACCATCGTAAATCGAATCTTCCTATTATCTCTCTATGGTGGGGTGTGTATCTCGTCTTAGCAAAGCGTTTGTTCGTACCCGGAGGAAGAAATTGTCGTATGATAAAACGCATGTATTTTTCATCCGTATTTATATCTCGCATTTTTTTTATCCCAAACAACATAAGCAAAACATATCCAACGGACGCTCTTAATCCCACGGTGTTAAATAAGATATAATAAAATATGGCCGAAGAGAGCTCGTAAAAATAAAGCAAACGGGAAAGCTATCTGCGTTTATTCCGCGCTCGTCCTATTTTTGCGGATATTAATCGCAAGCAACGGGATCTTTTCTTTTTCAAGTTCTCTGTTTTTATTCAATCGACTTATTTACTATCTTGGAACGAGCAAATAGAGCATGTAGTAATCATTTTCAGTAAACAAGCCGACTTAATATAATTACATCCGTAGGGCTAATATTACATTTGTCGTATACGACAAGCTTTTCAAGCCTGTTGATTGGCTGCTGAATAGAAAGCCTTGCTAGACACTCGAGAATTTCACTACCTCGCGGCCGGTCAACCCACTTAAAAAATTTGTCGTACGACAAATGTAACACCAGCCTGCGTGTAATATAGATGAATTTTTGTGTCGGACAAGAGCCTGCGTTCGAAAGATCTGGGGGTCGGAGTGCTCTCTTGAGTAAACGAGACAGAACGCAGACGCGTGGAAATAAATGATAAATTCCGCAAGCCGAATGACGAATAAATGATAAGTTACTCACCCCAAGCTCGTCCCGCAGTCGCCCGATGCCTCCCAGGGCCTCCTTCTCCTCTCAGCCTCTTTCAGCCGTTGCACTCGCGTAACACACTCGATAGTTAATTACACTCGCGCGCGTAATAATCACCGGAATACGACCGCGCGGCACTTTGCTAATCGCACGCGGCACGCACTTGATTGCATCGCGACGGAATAATAACGAGGGAAGAAACAAGAAGAACGCGCCAAGAGAATTACCGGACCGCTCGGTTTCCCGTGAGGGCCCGCGTAACGGACGAATCTCGGATTGGCGCGGAAAGGTCTCGACGAATCGCCGACGTGAAAGATCGCGTTAAGACACGAGGTTCCATCGCTTCGTGCGACTCTACGTATGTATCTGTACTCGCGACCGCGTCTCGAAAGACTACGCGAAGACACGCGGAGCGGCGAAGCGGTACGTGCTACCCGCGCGAGCTTCGCCGAGCGAATGATAACGGGCGCGCGGTGATAGTACGCATTGTTTTCCGCGCGCCTCGCCGAACAGGTAATTCCACGAAACGCCCGTGCGTATTATAAACATACCTGAAAGTCGCGGCGCGCTTGACGCGCAAAAAAACAATTACGCGGCGTACCGAGGTCTTTGTATTATTATGCGGGCAATCGAGCGGAACGGCGCCGATCGGCTCCGTGTTTACTACGCATTGCCTCGAGCCGCGATTGCGACAAGTGCTGTGAAATATTTTTATTACGTTTGTCTCGCGCGAACAATTAGCGATTACCGGCTCGCGTTCTAAAGCCAACGGCACACTGGATCGCTCACGAGAGCCAATAAGGACGCAGTGTTTTAGATCAGGCGACCTAAGGCTAAATCCTGATTAGCTCTTGTAAGCAATTCATTACGAAAAATAGTATCGCGTGCCGTTGGCTTAACTGACTGTCTCGCCAACGATGGTTATCTATCGAAATAGAGACATCTTGTACGACTTATCCGTCGTGTCGAGTAACGTTTAATTAATACAGTTGTGATACCATTCGGTGCTTCGATAACCGTAATAATCGCGTACTGTATTCGATATTTATACAATGTTTTTACGTAATTTTTATGCAATTTTAAAAACAATTTATACAATGCGATTTATGTAAATCTTCTATCGTTCGAGATTCGTGTTTAATGTCGATTCGCAGCTCGCAGCTTCGTGCGATCGTAGCTTGTTCGTGCTGTTTCTTCATAACGTTATTTCGTAAAACGTGACGAAGTGCGTGCGACGTGTAGTTAACAACGGAAGGGTTACACCCGATCGTAATTCCGATCGTTAGTACGCGCGCGATGATAATTAACTATATCTCCGCGAGTGTATGTGACGCGCGTGTGCGCAACGAGAAAATCTGAGCGGCGGCGGAGTCTTAGGAGGCATCGGACGACGGCGGAGTAAATGAGAGTCGAATAATTTATTATAACGCCGCTAATATACAATATAAAGAATCTAACAAGAATATTCTTCATGTTGCCAGCAGTAATTAACAACTTTAGTGTTTTTATTGACCATATCTGGCATTTTCAATAATACAGAAAATTTTGTGCGAAAAATATTACCTCAGGGTTTGAACCTGGACTTTCCTACTCTCTAGGCGGTCGAATGGCCTATCTCGTCGAATCCAGGCGGCCAGATATGGTCAATGAAAGCACTGAAGTTGTTAATGCAAAAAAGTTTAATTTATCTGAATAAAAAAAGGAGAATCGTTGCTGACGGGAGGAAGCGAATGGAATACATTTTAACTTGGGAGAGAGGTGTCAGTTCCACTTTATTATGGCAGAATGCGTTGCTTATCCAAAGTGAAATGTATATTTCGAAATAATTAAATCGCTGCTTCGATAATACGCAATAAGCAGGAATTTCTCACAACGCATCCTGATGAAATGCGGTCCGGGTAGAAAAGGATACTAACTGAATCAATAATTAACGTACCAGGATAATCACGAGTGAAATGGTTGAAATGTTGCTAACCTGTAACTGTTTATTCAGAGTAATTATGGATGCAGCCAGGTGGAGAAGGATTCTATCTGTTTTACGATAGCAAATAACAGAGGAGATGCGTCCCGCGAGATAAAGGCAGAATGTTAGATGCCACCGGGCTGGGACAGCATCACAAACAACGGAAGGCAGCGCGATAGTCTCGCGATTCGACTGATTATTCTACCGACGCGATCTCCGTACATATTTACTCAACGGAATTTCCTCGGCAAATGTGGAGTCTCCCTCGCACCGCCATCTACTGCTAATCAACCACTCGTCGATCGATGATTGATCCGATGGAATTACCGCGTGGCGAATTTAGGTGATGAAAACCCGTTGGAAATTAATTCGATCGCAATAAACAGTACGATAAGAAAGTAGCATAAAAAAAAGTTGTTTCTAGAAAATCAATAATTTAACGATAGTTGTAGAGCTTGACACTTTTAATTTCTTTTCATCCAAAATACTTCATCATTTAGCAAAGTGAAAATATTATTAATTGAAAACGCGGACAAATTTTGGAAATGCAAAATTGACTTTATGCACGTGGAAAATAACTTGCGCGGAGGAATCGCGTGATTTATTATGAAACATTTTGCGAAAATAATGTTGTAGTACGCATACACACTTGAATTTTCCCGGAAAGAGCCTGCGTCCGTACTGATAATGGGGGGCGTCGCGGCACATCGCGGTGGAGAACAATAATGTAACACCACGCATGTAGTGTAATCTGTGCATAATTGAACATAAACACGCTGATAATTTGAACCGGCAATAGCGAACGGACGATGGCGGAGAGACAGAAGGAAAACAGTCATCACGCGGCTACATGAGAATATCCCGCGCCACCAACAAACGAATAATTGCCTTTGCTGAACTTGCATCCTTGCCGCGTACTGCTGTTAATGAAGCTAAGCACCCGCGGGAGCGGAAAGCATTATCATTTTAACGAGCCGCGATTGAAGGATACGGAACAAAAGTGAGATAAAATCCATAATTGGACGGTGTCGCCCGAAAATTAGTTGACTCGTCAAATGCGTGTGTAGCCTGTAGTCTGCAGAGACAATGTAAACGCAGAATTTCGTGCCATTGTACCGGCTATGTGTACCTTATATTAAGATAATTTAAAAAATTTCTGTGATAAATTGTAACAATTGTCTCGAGCGACACAAAAGTGGAATTGATTTATGAAGCGTGAAATGGCACAGAACTAATTTATGACTCCAGGATTTATAATCATTATACAAGTTTTCAATTAAATCGCGACTGCAGGTATAGCGTAATAAATAAAAGTAAATTATACTCGAGATTTATTTATTAGACCGCATCGCGCTACCGAATTGATTTTAACTGAGTTTTAATTGCGTTTTCTGCGAAAATGCAATTATAAGTGGGAGTATGCGGTGAACTTTAGTCCGTGCATTTCGGTCTGCGATTTTTCTTAGTCTCGCTTACCTGAGGATAATCGCCGTCCTTCATCTGATAGTCGAACACGTAAAAGTAAGTCTTGGGCATAGGCTCCTCCTCGCTGTCGAGGATCGGCGCGATGTGGGGGCTGTTTGGTTTCTTGGTGTGTCTCAAGGTGAAGAGATCTCCGGTTTGCACGAGCGGCGCCACGAACTGCGCATCGCTCAACGCCTGTACACACGCATCCTTCGTGTTGACAGGATGTTGAACTGTTCGCTCCCAGTCCGTATACTCGTTCACTACCTATATACAAAAGGAATTCCAGGTCTATTATTTACGTAAACGTGGCAAGAGGGTTATTGGAAAATCAGGAATGATCGGCGTTTGTCTTCTCGTCGGGCCCATTACATTCTTCCAGCTGTTAAAAGCGCATTTCCGGAGCATTTTGTTTAACAATGTAGATACAATTTAAGTAAAAATGAAAGAGGGAGAAGAAATTGACTCAATTGAAGTATAATTGTGTAAAATTGTCGTTAATTAAGTCCGAGTACAATTTTAAATGAAATCGCCTGCGAGTTTCGCGCGCAATATCTTGTTTTCCCTTATCGTCGCGTACAATAACCAGCGATGCGTTTAACCGAACGTTTATCCCCTATTGGCGCTCGTAAAAACGTATCGTCGCAGTCGTAATTATTTAATTGGCTATAATCATTAACTAATGCCGGACCTGCGTCGTCACTGGGTGGACTGATAACGCGCCAGCCAAATGGAATTGCATTGCCTGTGTATTTCGGCAAAACGTAATGCTCGCGATTCAATCGTTGTGTGGAACGTAACAATTACGTCCTGCGATAAATTCCGCGTGAATGCAACGATATGCGCCACAAATATGCGCGGCACGTCACATACTGCTGGCGATAAATATAATTTATATACCTACTTTTTGGGGAATGCGATTCTCTAATTTTCCGAAGATTCCTCTATCGGGAGATGCTTCCGGGTTTAGATTTTAGGTGTAAAAAAATATACTAGACATTTTTACCTGATGAGGATTTTGGATCGAAGGTTTCAAAAAGTCGGAAAACTAGGCATCCAAACTTACAATTACGCGAGGATTTAATGATACGAACTGCTGAGGGTTTTAAAGATGCGAGCAAGTAGAAGCTGAGAAAAGTAAGAATTCTTTTCGATTAATGTAAAGAATTAACATGATAATTGCGGACAATTATCGTGAAAAAGTATCAGTCCCTATCGTTTCAATAAAAGAACAAATGGTGCGAAAAACCTGCTTCGGTAGAGGATTATAACATCGATGCGATTACGAGTATTTAGGGGAGAGTTGTCGAATGCATACCACTTACGGTATTATTTATTATATATCCCAGTTGGTACTGGTTTGTACGCAAACAACCGTTGGAAATTGTAGTATGACGTTTCAGGCATCTATTATTACACACGTTCAACGTTTCCCTAATAACAAATTAATTTTAAACTCAAAATTGATGTTAATAATTAAAATAGTCAAAGGTTAGTCGGGGCAATGTGAACCGTCACCTGAACGAGGGTGATAAATTATTCAAACAAGTTCCAGTATAAAATATATTTTAAGATTGGTAACAACATGATACAGATTGAACGTTTCGGTCTATGTATGTGATGGACGACGCAGGTGACGGCTCACATTGCCTCTGCTAATCTTTTACTATTTTAACAATTAGCATCAATTTTAATTTTAATCACGTCAGCGTTTCGCAATAAATTTTCTGTATTATTAAAAATGTGAAGAAAACACTGACGTTGTTAATTATCGCTGGCGACATTGAAGAATTGTTAATATTTCATTTTAATATTGTCTTATCAAAGCCTTGTTCATAGTTATTAACGAATTAATTTGTTATAAGTCTTTTTGTAACATGTTGCAAAAGGTACGATCTAGGAAACAGGTTGCCTAAATCGTACCTGCTTGAATAGTCAAATTGATGAGTGAAAATAATAAAAAGTCGAGTAAATAGTATAAGATTGATACAAGAAAGTATTAACTAACACCTATTTTATTAATAATTTATCTGAAAAAAATTGTTTCTAAAAACATGCGAGGACACACCCAGAATAAAAGAGAGATTAGATTTATTTAGGTTAAACAAATGAGACACGTTGAAATCACGTTTCTTTGAATCTAC